TAAGTCGCAAACGCCTCGGGGGAGGGGGGCTGTCTCCGTATGGTGTCGATTATTGGCTCACGGAAATGCTGCGCAGTATGCAGACACACCACGGGCTTACGGGGCCGCTGACCGACTTGGCCTGTCGCTGACCAAACCTGGGGAGAGGTGAGATCCCGCAGGAGTTTTGGACTCCCCATGCTAAGGTATGTATGTCCAATGTCAACATGTGCGCTCAGATGTTGAGCCGTGGTCGTTCCATTCCCCAGAGAGGCAGTGTTGAGCGCCAGCACTTGCAGGCCGCAATTGCAACGAGAAGAGAAGGAGCGGTAAGAGCAAGACTAGAATAAAGCGTCCTGGTAGTGGCTATGATCGGAGCCGCGGTGTAGGACTGGGTTCTGAGAGTGCAGTAGAGAAAAGAGATCGGCACCAGTGAGAAGAAAGCATCGCTGTCCCTAGGCTTCTCATGGCGTGCCGACGGTAAGAGGAGCCAGTCGCGATGGCTTCAAGGCCTGCATGTCTCAGTTTCTCGTCATTAGGTTGTTGTCGCAACGCCGGAAACGGTCATTCGGCACACCGGCAAGTGAGGTAATTGGAGAGTCCCATGTGAGAATGGCGGGCGAGAAAATGTGTCAGGAGGACGGCTCCCCGGCATCGTTCGTGGTGCTTTCTCGACTTCGGCACGGTCTCATGTCGTCACTGAATCCGCGGGAAACAGCAGCCATTGGGAGGTACAAGCTCGGGCATACTTTGAAGCATTGCAGCAGAACAGTCTAAATGCAAACGCGAAGGAAAACAATGACCTGCTTCGATGCTTGCTCCGGCCGGTTCCCGTTCCTGGTGCTGATTCGAGGGAGGCCTGGCCTGCCGAGAGCCGAGTTGCTTGGGATTAAATTCTGCCGGGTGTCTCCGCCTGCCTAATTTAGGATATGGTCAACGGTTGCCCCTCCCCCACCATGGACGGGACTTGAGTCACCGTGGTCGCCAAAGAGCCCAGGATTTGAAACCGGTAGAGGACCACACACCAGACTGCAACTTCTCGAGAGGCTACCGATTGGGCTTCAGCGAATCTGCACCATGGCGACCAACGTGACGGCGGAAGCTCTCGACGAGTCTCCCATCCCTCATCAGCACAAGCAGACAGTCGACCCATACAACGTAGGCGCATTCGTTCGATCGTCCTTGGAATCGGGCTGAGTATTTGTTGCAGGTCTCGGGAGAAGTTGGCGAGGATGGAGTAGTCAAGGCGATCGATTACAATAAGCTGGTGGAAGAGTTCGGCACCAAGAAGATCGACCAGGCACTTCTCGAGCGCTTCGAGAAGGTGACGGGCAAGAAGCCGCACCGCTTCCTCCGCCGAGGCATTGTCTTTTCCCACCGTGACTTTGAGGCGATTCTAGACCGATATGAGCGCGGCGAACCCTTCTTCCTCTATACTGGGCGCGGCCCTTCGTCCGACAGCGTGCATGTGGGGCACACGGTCCCCTTCGAGTTCACAAAGTGTATGTTGGGGCAAAGCGGGAGGAACTGCCCGGTAGCTAACAGGGATATGAACAGGGCTCCAGGATGCTTTTGATGTGCCGCTCGTCATTATGTTGACTGACGACGAAAAGTACCTTTTCTCGGAGAAGAGGACAATCGAGGAGGTCCAGGGGTATTGCAGCAGCAACGCCAAGGATATCATTGCCATTGGCTTTGACCCTAAGAAGACATTCATCTTCTCAGATGTAAGTTGTGGCGATTGCTGCCTCAGAGCCAATGCTAATACGCGGGCAGTTCGAATACATGGGTGGTGCCTTTTATAGGAACGTTGTGAGGTTGAGCAAGCACATCACGCTAAACCAAGCAAGGGCCATCTTTGGGTTTGACAACTCGACCAATATCGGGCGGTATGTCTAAAAATCTCTTTGGGAGATATAGACAGCGGGTACTGACATGATTGTGGCTAGCATCCACTTCGGGAGCATCCAAGGTCAGTGGTGGCGGTCACGCCCCGGCGACAACTACTCACACCTTGACAGGAGCCACCAGCTGGGCACATTCCTTCCCACACATCTTCGGTACCGATGAGAAGAGGACATCCATCATACCGGCGCTCATGTGAGAACCCCGAGATATACCCAGCTCGTCAATTGCTAACCCAAACAGTCCGTGTGCCATTGACCAAGATCCGTACGTTTGCACCTGAACTCTCGTGACTATGCTTGGAGCAAAGACGTTCCCCTTGAGCGTCGGAAGAGCTCGTGCTAATTATCTGCAGATGTAAGGACACATAGAGTTCTAAACGCTCCTAGGTTTATGTGAACTAATTTGGATTCAGACTTTCGTATGACCAGAGATGTCTCCGCGAGGTTGCATTACGCCAAACCATCTCTAATTCACTCGAGGTTTCTTGACGCTCTCCAGGGGCCTGGAACAAAGGTACCGGTCTAGGTTCCGGGTACCTTGAACAGGAAGACTGACTGAACTTTAGATGTCGGCTTCCGTTGACGAATCTGCCAGTAAGTCAAAACTTTTACCGAGATGGGAGTCCCATCTACGTTGTGCACTTCGTCCGGCTGCTAAACGAGAAAGTCTTCATGAGGGACACGCCCAACCAGATCAAGAACAAGGTCAACAAGTATGCCTTTTCTGGTGGAAAGGTGTCGGTCGAGGAACACCGAGCACAGGGCGGTGACACCAGCGTCGATGTCTCATACCAATATCTCACCTTCTTCCTGGAGGACGATGAAGAGCTCGAGAGAATCCGGCTCGCGTATGAGTCAGGAGAGATGCTGACAGGTGAGCTGAAAGCCATCTGCATCAAGGAGCTCCAGGCATACGTGGCCGCGTTCCAGGAGCGGAGGGCCAAGGTAGATGATGCAACGGTTGAGCTCTTCATGAAGCCGAGGCCCTTGTCGTGGGTGGGCAACCCTCGTGCACCCATTGTGGTTCCCAAGGTCGAGCCAAATGCCGACGGCGCCGAGCCCAAGGAGGGCGGAGATGGTAAGTTGACGAAGAACCAGCTCAAGAAACTAGAGAAGCAAAAGCAAATAGAAGCAAAGAAGGCGCAAAAGGCAAAGGAAAAGGAGGATCAGGTGGCTGCAAAGGAGGCATAGGGGAATCTTGGTTGCATATGCTTGGGAGCGTGGAGCGTTGGCGTCAGGAGATGCGGCATCTCGACTGCGTCTCGGTCAAACCTGTCTGTTAGCACGGTCAATGGCAAGGAATTGCAAAATCCATGGGATTGAGATTATCAGTGAGTCACAATGTGGTACCTGATGATAAGCAGGATGAACCCTTCCCCGCTGCTCCGAAGCGGGAGATGAAGTGGACTGAATGCACGCCCAGAGCACGACATGCAGCCAGTCAATCATAAGGCGTGGCCGTATGTATAACCTTCCTACATGAGGAAGCTCTGCGAACATTTGGAGTTGCTGGTTTCCCCTCTCTCCCCACTCCTCTCCCCAATCTGCCATAAACACCGCCAGCAGCATCTTTTCTCTCCTTTCCATCACTCTGACTCGGAAAAGCATCCGACGAGTAGCCACTGCAAATTAAAAGGCAAAATGACATACAAACTCTTCATCACAAACCGCAACTACTCCTCCTGGTCTCTCCGCCCCTGGCTTCTTCTCCGCGCCCTCAACATCCCTTTTGAAGAAGAATTCGCCGAGCTCATCTCAGGCCAATACCGCCAACCCCAATGGAAAGCCTTTTCCCCCGTCGCTCACGTTCCCTGTCTGCACGACACCTCGTCTGGTTCAGAACTTCTCATCCTCTGGGAATCCATCGCCATCATCGAGTACCTCGCCGAGCAACACCCCGATAAGAGCGTCTACCCCACTGCCTCCAAAGTAGCGAGAGCATGGGCTAGGTCAGCAGTCGCGGAGATGCACGCGGGCTTCGCGACAATCAGGGACGAGATGAGTATGAATATTGGGTTGAGGGTGCAGTTGGAGAGTAAACAAGAGGTGAGTGAGGGGCTGAAGAAGGATTTGGAGAGGATCAGCGAGCTTTGGACGGAGGGATTGAGCAGGTTTGGGGGGCCTTGGTTGGCGGGGAAGGAGTTTACGGCTGTGGATGCGTTTTATGCGCCGGTGGTTTTGAGACTGCAGACTTTTGTGGGGAGTCGGGCGTGGTTGAGCGAGGTGGCGGATGGGTATGTTGAGAGGGTTTTGGGGAGGGAGGAGGTGAAGGAGTGGTGAGTACGATGTGACCTGCTGTGGTGATGATTTTACTGATGATTGGTAGGGTTGATGCTGCGTTGAAGGAGACGGGGAGGGAGGTGTTGCACGAAGGGGATACGGTCAGGGGGAGGAAGGTGTTGGAGGATTTGAGGGTTCAGGGGGCGTGATCGATGGGTGAGGGAGTGGTTGAGATGATTCTTGATAGTTTTGGGTGGTGCTGGGTCAAGTTTCTTTTTACACGACTAGGTATGTTACGGGTTACCTATGACAGGCAGTTTCTCCATGACGGGTTCTTCCCCGAGTCCCGCTCCTGGGTGGAGGTTTGTGAGTCTGGCAATTCAACAAGTCGGTAGGTTGCGAAGGTCTCTCGCAACAGCCTAGAGTCCAAAAGAATAAAACAGGTTTAGCTGCAACTTGGGACTCAGACAGGGTTTGAAACATGAGAATCATGGACAGGAAACAATCCGTCGATTCTCGCCCCATGAACGGTTGGTCGTGATCGTCGGCATTACCCGGGTTCCCATGCCATAACTAATGAAGCTTCGTCTTGCCACTACCTAGGCATGGATGAACTGATGGCTTCTATCGACAAGGCTGAGAGCCCTGGGTGTTTGCATTACAGTCCAAAGAGCAGCCAGCCCTGACAAGGCGAGACTACGATCGCCCCCAACAACGCGATTAACACATGTTCGCAAGCAATCAACCTAAATATCTATACTGGTCAGCTTAATGCCTCTTGAGTGGGAAACACACAATGCCACTGTGGAGTGATTGTCCCCTAACTGGCTGTCCTCCCCCCAAAGTTTGGGTGTCGTCAAGTAGCACTATTCCACTTCCACTAATATCAAATCGGGCGAGATGGCCGAGCGGTCTAAGGCGCTAGACTCAAGAATCCTGTTCTTGCCTGCAGAAGTGGGTAGCATTCTAGTATCGAAAGATGCGTGGGTTCGAATCCCACTCTCGTCAGCTTTTTTACCTCTATAGCAGTTGAGAAGAGCGTATCAGAGACCAGTATTTTCTTTTTGCAACTCAGCAAGTGGCGTTGTGAAGAAAGAGTGCGATTCGATTGCAAGCATGCGGTGTGCACCCCACGTACAGAAGATTCTACACCCTAGAAAACCTGAGGTGGTGCTCCATTGGGAAGAGAAAAACCCCGAGGCATTGGAAATATTTGCGAGGCCTTTCATTATGATATCCTGTGCTGAAGACATTACTAGACATCTGTTGGCAAATAAATATACATGGCTTGAGACCATTTGATGCTGTATTGGCAAGTCGATGGCATGACCTTTTTTGGACAGTCTGGTTGGTCGCACTCATTCTTTACACTACTTGCCCACCAACAACTTGGCGCCGAAAACTCGGCTGGACAACCTCACATGGCGCTGAATACCTCGGTCCGGCTCCAACATCGAGGGACGATGGACCATCCCATCCTTGTTTTCATTCCGTCGCCTTTCTCGGACCAACCGGCCAATGGCAAAGCATAAGCTACTCCACTCCCCTTGCCAACGTGCATCTGCAGGTTGCGGCGGTGGGCGGTGGGCGGTGGGCACGGCCGAAAGCCATGACGGCTCGAGATGAAACGGTGGGGGGATAAACCGGTGGGAAACTCAATTGGCCTTTGTTGAAGGTCCCGAGATCTCACACTCCGACGAACCAAATCACCATCATTGCTGTTTGCTGTCTCACCATGGCATCAACAACCGCCCCTGTCCCGCCGCCGCCGCAGCAGCAGCGCCAGGGTGATGAAGTCACAGAGCTCAGCAAGCAGTATGACACACCCATAGGTCTCGCCCACACAACGATGCAAGCTCTCAAGGATCGCATCAAGCTCCATTATGACCTGGCGAGCGATTACTACCTGAATCTCTGGTCCGTTTTCCGTTGTCCATCTCCCGTGCTGAAACAAACGGTCCTTACATGACCAAACAGGGGTGAACACATCCACCACGGCTACTGGCCCACGCCCGAAAGCAAAGCCTCGGAATCCAAGGAAACAGCCCAAGTCAACCTGATCCGCCTCCTCCTCGACATCTCGTCCCTCCCCGAGGGCGCCCACGTCCTAGACACAGGATGCGGCATCGGCGGGACCTCGCGGTTCTTGGCGGCCCAGCTGGGATGCACCGTCACGGGCATCACCATTTCCTCCAAGCAAGTGCAGATCGCCACGCGGCTGACCAAGGCCGAGGCTTCCAAAGACGGTGAGCCTGTGGTCGATGAGAAGGGCTTCATCAAGCTAGGCAAGGGCAAGGTGCGGTTCATCGAGCTCGATGCAGAGAAGATGGGCGAGTATTTTGCTGCCGATGACAAGTTTGATGCGGTTTGGATTAGCGAAGCGTTGAGTCACTTTCCGAACAAGGGGCTGTTTTTTGAGAATGCGCATAGGGTGCTGAAAAATGGGGGAAAGCTGGTGTTGGCGGATTGGTTCAAGAACGAGGGGCTTGGGGAGAAGGAGTTTGAGGCTGATATCAAGCCCATCGAGGGTGAGTCCTTTCTAATCTGTGAGAAAAGAGGGCGAAGCTGATGATTGTGCGGGTTAGATGGTATGCTGCTGCCGCCGCTGTGTACGCAGCATGGTTATGTGGATTTCGCGATCAAGGCTGGGCTGAAGGTGCTCGGGGGACCCAAGGACATAAGCCAGGATGTTAGCAAGACTTGGTATGTTTACGGTTTGCTGTCGTGCAGAGCGCGGAGCTAACACTCTTCTAGGGATATATCCTGGTCATTGGTGCAGAATCCGTCGCTCTGGGGATTTGCTTTCAGCCAGGGGAGGGACGGGATTGCGTTTTTGCAGTCCTTCCGGGCCATGAGGAGGGGATACGCGAATGGGAGTTTCAGGTATGCAGTGATGGCGTTTGACAAGGAGTAGGTGTTGAGTTTCTGGGACACTGTGGTTCAACTGACTAGAGGGCTTTGGCGCTGGGAAACCGGAGGCAGCTTGATCAAATCCTTGATTTGCTAATTTCACCATGACTTACATCCACCAACTATTGAGGACCAAAGGAGTGACAATAAGTATCCGACCCAATGCACCGTCTACCCGAACGCCTTCCAATGCCCGCCACAGGTGCGCCAGCACGAAAAGTTCCTTTTGTACACTACCAACCCAGACGTTCTGCCCCTAGCATCCATACGTCAAAGCAATACCGGCTCCATTCCCCTCAGCAAAGCTCACGCTGCCTGCCCCCTCGGTCGCGAGCACAAGCTTGTACTGCATGTTCGCCCGGCAGGCAAACGAGTTGATGTACGTCGTCTTGGGCGCAGACGGATCGCTGGCAAAGGTGACTGTGCCGACGATGGAACCAGGGGCTGGCCCGTTGACATCAATGACGTTGACCTGGGCGTTGCCGCTGCTGGCGATGGGATAGCCGGCCGGGAAGGTGGCGATCAGGGTGCAGGGACCGCCGGCGCCGGCGGGGACATCCCACGAGAGGTTCTGGGTGGTGCTGGGGGCGCCGACGGTCTTGCTCAGGGCGATGTTGGAGACGCCGGCGGGGAATCGGGGGGTGCAGGCCCGCTTGTCAGTGGTGGAGGGGGCGGCGAGGGTGAGGGCGGAGAGGGTTGTGAGGAGGAGAGCTGTGAGCTGCATGTTGGCGGTTGAGTTGGTTGGGTGGTTGTGCAAGTTGGAAGATTGATGCTTTCGAACTGAAGATGTGAAGTGCTGTTGATGAACGATACACCACCCAAACGAAGGGAGGCTCTCGGTTTATATACGCAACCAAATCATCATCAACATATCCGACAATCCTTTCGGTGCAACGCTCGTTCGCTCACCACGCCCCTCCCAGCTGAACAACCAAAAGCGAACGAGGCAATGCTCCCTCCACCACAGCAACATCCTCACCAGACGGAGATGGACAACGTCGCATTGAATCGGACCGCTCTCAAAGCACTCCCGAACCGACCGCCGCCAAATCCTCACCGCAGGTGCGATATTGACCAAGTCAGCAGCCTCACGTCGTCAAGGCTGGGTAAAAGTGGCTGAGTGATATCCCCCTCGCCCAACCAATAACCATCCTCAACTAGGTACCCGATGCCGGCACTGCATAGAACCCGGATCATGGTGGCATGCTTGATCATGAGAACCACGCACCCGCCCGGCCACCCTTGCTCCAAAGCCGGAAAGCTCTGCGCGCATGCAAAACGTTGTCATCTGTAGGGCTGAACGCAAGTCATCTCTGTCTCGCATTGCATTCGAGGCCTCCCCCATACTTTTTTTTTTTTTTTCGGTCAGTGTACGTACCTATTTTCCCGGTGAGCTGGTGTGGCCAAGTGCCTTACCGCTAAGCTCGGCCGTGATGGTGAGATCTCCGGAGCTCCTCCCATCGGATTACATCCGATTCTTGTTATTCCCGAGCTGAATGCCCTCCCAACTTCGTATGCTTCGCAAACATCGCGCACTTCGTATTTGCCAAACACCATGTTACAGCATCGATATTTTCCATTACAATACCAAAACCTAATAATAGCACCATCGATGGCTTGCTCTGGTATGTGGACGGGATGCTGAATCGGGATTGGACCCTGCATCCGCACCGCTGGGACGGGAACCACTGGGAATGTTCCAACGAGGCAGTGTGGGTGAGACCCGGATTCAATCACGGGTACGTTGCATGGGACCGTCAGTGACGAGCAGAGGAGCATAAGCCGGGTAATATTTGATGCGAGACATTCCTCGGATTTATGAACAGCTGGATGGTGATGGATAAAAAGGTGACGTTGTTTAGGTTGTGGAGACAGTTCTCAGCTGAAAGCCGGACTGAATCTTATTTTCACAACACTGCGCCAACTTCATCGCCTCTTCCTGTCAGCAGGTCGTTCAGCTCATATTCTTTACGGAAGAATAGAGAAGACACCTTTTAGACCGAGAGTGAAGAGAATCGCGAGTAAATGTATGTCATCATGATTTATTTACATTATATACATCGTCAGTCATTATCATTACATGATAACCTGTCTGCTGAGACCATGGGAGCGTACTAAAACACTCCGACGTCCAAAAGACAGATACCCAATCTCTAGTCAAATCTCTCGCTGTCCCTGCCCAATCCAGTCCCATGTCCTTAACCCGCATGTAAGCAAATCAGTCCACCCAAGGGCTGCCATGTACAGTGCCCAATGCCAAATGTCCCCTCATCTACGCTCACATGGCAAGAGATAGAGTTAAGGCACACTGCAAAATGCTTGAGCTTAGAGCCCCTTGTCTTTGTCAACAACCACCGGACTCGCCGGCCGTTCAGGCTCAGGATATAAGCTGCGCTCCCACTCCTTCATCAGATCCGTCGTGGCTCTCTTAAGGCTGCCGGGAAGACGGTTTACCACCGCAGGGAGGAGTTCCTCCAGCTTGTTGGAATTAGGCGACGCAGTAACGCCCGAGAGGCGGGACGATTTGTTTTTGCTGACAGATGTTAGCAGTGCATAACAGCACACATGTCGAAGAGAATCTTACAGAGGCGTTGCGGGATCATCGCGCTTCTCTGGGATGCTGGGAATGATATCCCCGTTGACAGTGGTGCCACTCCACCGTGTTGAGCTGACGTTCGGACTGTCCCAGTTCGACCAGTCGTTGTCGTCATACGAGTCAACCGTCAACGGCGTCCACGAGAACCGTTTCATCGCCTTTCCACCCTCAGTGTTGGATCTCTGGTGGCCCCGCACTTGTGCTGATGACGCGCCCACGTTGTCCTGCTCTTCTCGCTGATCGCCTGTGACGAGGTTCGGTGAAGGCGCCGGCGGGTTGTCAAACGCCGCTGCTACACGGGGTCTGGGGCCAGCGCCTGAAGCGCGGATGGTGTCTTGATCGCCACTCCCTAGCGGGCTACTATTCCCACTAAGAGCTGACCTCATGACGCCGTCGTTGCCGCGGAGATATGTCCGTTGGCCGGTAATCGGCTCCTCACCCACGGTGGCCTGCCTAAGGTCCTCCACAAATGTCCACAGACCATACTTGAAATCTTGGGCGA